GTGCATGTCTAAAGAATGTGTGTGTTTGTTTGCCGTTCCTCTGAAAAGCACACAGAGAGGTGGAGACACAATAGGTGACAGCAGAGAGATGAATGGAGCGATGACGCACCTGGAAGTCGAGCGGAGGGCCTCAAACTCCACTAAAACTGTCTTTCCTGGATGCCTATCAGCGTCGTCATGGTAACGGGGACAGGGGCGGAGCTAGAGCCTTTTCTATCGGGAGCAGACAAGTTCAGGCAGGCAGGAGGGCGAACACACACACACACACACACACACACACACACACACACGCAGACAAACACTTACCTCTTCTTTCATCAGTGTTTGCATTTCACTTTGCATGCAGCCTGAGGTCATGTGGTTAATTGTCGCCATGACGACCGCGCATGTGTGACAGGTAAAAATCGCAGCCCTGCCCTCTAAAAGTCTCCCTTCCCGTGTCTCCCATTGTGGCGTCCGCCTGCCCGCCGGCTCGTGATGCGATGTCACGGGTGGCCGAGCAGCCAATGGAGCGATCTCCACAAACTGATAAATAAACACACGGAGAGTCTGCGAGCCGCTGCAGGGGCTGCTGGGTAGTTTGGTCTGACTGATCCGTGGCGTGGACAGACTGCTGATCCTCACTCTGTGTTCATTTGTCGGCTGATGGAGTCAGCGATCGGGGCGGCGTGCAGATCAAACAGACTTTAACGAATGTGGGAAAATTCAGGAGATCAAATGGATCAGTGCGATCAATCAGACTTTGTCATTATTTCATCTCTAAAACTCATCAAACAGACGCCTTATCAATATTCATCCTCATGGTTTTACTTTGTCTACCAAACTTTAGTTTTTTTAACATCATCTTTCATCCTCTCATCTTTAATTATCGACTTTTCATCCCTTTGTTTTGACTTTTTATTTGACTATTTCTTTTTTAAATCCAATCAAATAAACTTCATATCCGCAGTTTGACTTTTAATCCACTCTTCTGAATATTTATCATGTAATTTGGGTTTTTTAATCCCAAATCTTTGGCTCTTTATTGCCTCATTTTGACTTTAATCATCTTTATGGCTTTTCATCTCACAGGTTCGGCTCATTATCACATAGATTTGACATTTAATCTCATAATCATGAGGTTCAATCTGAGAGTTTTGACTCAATTTCAGCAATTTATTAGATTTTGGTTTGTAATATCTTGAAATTGGATGTTTTAATCGAGGTGAATTTGTCATTTTTATTAAGAATTAAGACAAAAACTTGATTACAAACACAAACATGTGACCTTCTGATCGTGATTCAATGCGAGTAAGACCTGGAGTTTGTTTTCTGGGTTACTCGGCCAATCAGATTGCATCGCACTGATTGTGGTTTTTCTGGTTGTTAATACTGTAACTCAGAGCGGTTCAGTCTCACAGCGTCTGCAGGTGTTAAACTCTCTGCATCTGTTTGCTGCTGGTTTTAATGATCTATAATAACTGTCCTGCTGCTCCACACAGTCATAAAATCTATGCTTTCAAAACTACCAGGAGTGTGTGTGTGTGTGCACGTCTCTCTAGTGTGTGTGTGTATCCTGTAGCCTAGCGATTAGCTTCGGTATGAGAACCGCTGAGTGGGTTTAGCACAGGAGAAGTACACTGAGGCTGGAATTAACTAGATTTACCTTTCTGCAAATGTGTGTGTGTGCATGTGTGTGTGTGCGTGCGTGTGTGTGCGTGCGCTGGAGGAGGAATGCCACACTAAATTGGTAAAATGAGGTGTAAATGTCTTGAGGCAGATGAGCTGCCTTTAGTGAGTGCATCGTTGAATATATCACCAGCAGCTCCTGGAAAGCTTCTGTGTGTGTGTGTTTGTGTTGGTGTGTGTTTATGAGTGTGTGTCTGTGCGTTTGGGCGTGTGCGTCCACACTTGGCAGCCACAGCCAATCATCGTCCATCATTCAGTTTTGGTTCTGACAGCTGGAAGAGGCAGAAAGTCCCTAAACGCCTCAGAGAAACACTTAACTGCCTCTGCTGCTGCTCGGGTGAGTGTGCGGGTCTCTGAGTGACTGTGTGTGTGTCTGTGTGCGTGCATGTGTGTGTGTGTGTGCGTGTGTGTGTGAGAGTGTTGACATTAGAGGTGAGTTGTACCGAGTGTAATCGTCTCATTACATTCGGTAATCATCTGCAGTCTGACGTGCTGCTGCATCGACTGAAGGCGTTAATCTCTATATTTCCACCTGCGCTACTGCCTGACCTTTGACCTGGCGGGCATGGAGGACAGGCAGAGGTGCATCCGAGTTGACCTTTGACCTTCGGGTCTTTGATTTACAGCAAACTACAGAAAAACTGACAAATGATAAGGTACAACGCAGTGTGGTATAATCAGGTAAGATGGTTCGAGGTCATGATTAGGCCTGGACGATATAGAAAAAAAGCATATCGATAAAAAATAAATCATATTGATAGATATCGATAATTATCGATATAATTGTCATAATTATTTAACATATATTTTAATTGCAGCCCTGGATGTTTTATGCTATTGCTTAATGACCTACTTTTAATAAAGAACACACAAGCACTGAATTCAAATTAAAACCTTTATTCAACCACCTTTTTTATTTTACAACTGAAAGTTTTTTAAAAAAGAACTAAAAAAAAAAAAGAAATCAACTTAAGTGGCCTGAGTGACGTCAGTAAATATTGACAAACATAAAGACTAAAGTGACCAGAAAATCTGATAAATAAATATTTAAATAGTCTTTTGATGAAAATAAACAAATATATAAATAAACAGAATAGCTTTAGGTGGGAATAGCATACTACCAGTTTTAACTGTGTGGGAAACTGCCCACAGCCTGGTGTCTGAACACTGAAATATTTCTCCCGGGGTCGGGAGATTTATTTGTTTTAATTATCATGTGATTGACTTAATACACAAACTGAGCACGAGAAGCAGGACTTATCCACGCCGGTGTTGTGTCGTAGAATGCACCCCTGCCGAATGCCCCTCCTGCTAGTAGCCATGATCCAAATACTCGCGTCTTTGTAAAATATGAGCTCATTTTCTTCCACTTTAAGAAGCTACACCGGAACGTATTTCCTCCGCACCCTTCTCACCTTTTCAACCCCTGACCCATTTTCATGCCTGAAGCGCTGTGTTTGAGAAATACTTGCGGCCGGACACTTCATATCGCGGGTCGAGAGTGGCTAGTAGCTGGTCGAAGCCAGGCTTTTCAACGGTAGTTATTGGCAGTATGTCCCTCGCTATGAAGCATGTTACTGCATGGGTGATGTCCTTATGCCGCTCGGACGCTCTGTCGTATTTTGGCAAGAAACGAAGTCCAGTTTGGTCTGCTTCACATGCTTTGTGCTGGTGCTGGCAGCGGTTCCAGAGGATACCTCCAACGATGACGTGGAGCCGCGGCGCGGCCGACACAGCTCGTACTCCTGCGGGTGCGACCGCTTCAGATGGTAAAACAAGTTGGTTGTGTTACCAGACTTCGTTTTTACTAATTCTCTGCAAATTTTGCAAACGACCGCTGTTCGCTTTTTGTCAGACTTCTAAAAACCAAAACATTGCCATGCTGGTGAACTACTGAAACCTTTTTTCGGGACAATGTCCTCCGCTTCTCCTTGCTGTATCATTTTTTCTAATACACGTGCTGTCTGTTGTGGTTTGATAGGGGCTGGGCTTGGTGCCGTAGCTTACCTGGGTCTGCGTTTGTGATTGGTTGGGAGGAAGTAACGACTGTAGTAAAAGCTACATGATAGGCCATGATGGAAAAGAAAGGGAAACTGTGTTTTTCTATCGAACTTTTTATCGACCCGTTTTTTTTTCTATCGCGCCACACGTCTATCGATCGATATATATTGTTATCGAATTATCGTCCAGCACTAGTCATGATGTGATCTTAGTTCAGTCTTTTTCAGTCAAATTTCGTTGCTCACTTATTTCAGCGTAAAACTAGATTCTTAGTTCAATTGAAACATAATTTTCTACAATCATAATGAGAGACACAATTAAAACAAAAGGTTTTAAAAATGGAGTTGTAAAGTTACGAGATTGAAGAGGATAAAGTCTTGATAAAACTCAGAACATCATTTTTTAAAATTAAAGTCATGGTTTTACGAAGATAAAGTCAAATTTGTTTTGAGAATCAAGTTCAGATTTTTACGGAAAATTAAGAGTTGATGTTTCTGGAAAAAAAAACAAATTAGGTCTTAAGTCAGAAGGTTATGGTTTTTAGGGAAAAGCCAAAACCTTGATGAAGTTGGAGTTTTTCCAGAAATAAGTCATGATGATTTAAGAAAAAAGTCCAGATTTTTACAAAAAAATAAGTCGAGTTATTTTGGGAAAAAGGTGAAATATTTACAAAAATTTAGTGTTGATGTTTCTGGGGAAAAAATCGGGTCTTAAGTTGGATGATTTTGGGGAAAAAGTCGGAATTTTTATTTTAAAAAAAATTGTCGTGATTTTAGAGAGAAGTTCAGATTTTTACAAAAAATAAGTTGTGACATTTTGGGGAAAAGTTTAAATCTTTACAAAAATTAAGTGTTGATTTTTCTGGAAAAAAAATCGGGTCTTAAGTCGGACGGTTTTGGGGACAAAGTCTGAATTTTTAATAAAAAAAAAGTTGTGATGATTTAAGAAGAAAGTCCAGATCTTTACAAAAATTAAGTCCTTATGTTTTTAGAAAAAAAAAAGTTCTGATGATTTTAAAATAGATTTATCATTTTTTCAGGAATGACGTGATGCTTCTGAACAAACTTGAAATGTTTTTTAAATTTTTTTTTTAATAAATTGTTTTAAGAATAAATTCTGGATCTTTTCAGGTAAGATGGTTTAAAGGCATTTTTAGGCTCCCTTAAGAAAATAGATGTGCCTCAAATTTAACCCACATGGATGCATTTAGTAAAACTGATCCATGTTTAATTTCCAAAAGCATCAGTGCACCCGTGTTTGTTGTGTTAAGATGGCAGCGGGGTGTCACATCCGTTAGTCTGCTCTTAGCGAGGAGAGGAAGAAGAAGAAGAAGAAGAAGAAGAAGAGGAGGAAGAGGAGGAGGAGGAAGAGGAGGAAGAGGAGGAAGAGGAGCAGATTTAAATGAGTTAGCAGCGTGTCTGATTAACTTTAAATGAGCTCTGGTTTCAGAGCGACACATTAGCACACCACCCTCTCCTCCTCTTCCTCTCCTCCTCCTCCTCCTCCTCTGTCATCATCACTCTCTGGAATGTTTCCCCCTCTTTTGTCTGTGACCTGTGATCTTTGACCTACGGCTGTCGCTGAGGTGTGATGTTGTTGAGTTTTTCTTCCCAGAGAAGGAAAATCTCTGTTGGTTTGTCTTTTGTTTTGATCTCTCACTGGCAGTCATTCATTTTTTACACAAACATGCGTTTTCAAACGTACAAAAATGATATCAAAGTGTTGAAACAACCGCAGCTGGACTCCCCGCCGCTCCTCCTCGGCTTTTGTCTCTGATGAAAGATTGACATCCGCTTCACTGCCGAGCCAATCAGAGCGTCCGGGCCGAGATTAAAAGGAAATTGCAGTGGCGTTACACATCAAAGTGTGTTTCCAGGTGTTTGGAAGAGCTTCTCCTCATGTGGATGCAGGAGTTTAGACCCTGAAGGGACTGTTTTAGCTCTGAATCATGGCCTGAAGTGATGCCACCGGGGTCTGAGGAGCTGGAAATGGAAAAAATGGAAATTTCTGTCAGTGAGGAGGAAGGATGATAGAAATTTACCAGATTTTTGGATACCTGGGCGGCCCATCCACTGACACTTTTCTTTATTTGTCCATAAAAAGTGAGGTCCGCTTTTGAAGTCCAGGTGGACAAACTCTGCCTCGACACTCCTAACGTGAGTAAATCATCTCAGCAGCAGACTGAAAGACCTTTCAGACAAATTCAAGTCCAGATTGGAGTTTTACACGGTAAGACGGATCACAGACAACTTAAGTAAGACATACAACCTCTGAGGATTTGAAGAAATCAACAGATCTTTGCAGGTGAAAGTCTATCCTCCTGTTTCTGTAGGGCTTCACTCAGTACGTTTCCATGACACTCGAGAAAACCGAATTATCGCCTTATTCCGATTAAGACCAGACAACTAAAGGGCATGTAAACAACTTAGTCTGACTATAATCGGAGTTTGAGAACTCCGATTGAGACACCCAGTTAATGCGATTGGAATTCGATTTTCTCTACCATGTAACCAGGAGAGAAGTTCGATTCGGCAAAAAAGAGGAATTATGAGCTTAGTCCGATTAAACTGTGACTGTAAACGCACTCAGTGAGGGTACTGAGACTAATCTGATGAACAAAATAACCGTTTATGCCGTTGTAGTGATATTCAGAAGCTGACTTGGGGTTTACGAGTATAAAGTTGAAAACTTATGTTTGGATCTAGGATTTATTCGTCAGTAACAAAGCTCTATGATCCCAAAAAAGGGCCGCAGGAATGACGCCACTGTCACACAGAAGGAGAACGCTGCACAGGCTAAATGATTTACTTCATAACACACCGTCTGAGTAAACCTGAGGAGCTTCTGTTAGCATCTCCTGCTGGTTTTGCACACTGTTACACTTGTGCAGAAGCTCCTCAGTCTCTAGTTTGAGAAAGGGTTTTTGTTGCAGGTGAGGATGAAGTTTGCACATGAGGAATAATGAAGTAAGAAAGCCGAAAAAGCTCATTAGGAACAAAGAATCTGCGATCCTGACTCTGAAACTCGTGACTTTACAAGCGTCTGGTCATGCGTTCCTGAATATTTTTCTGGACATCTTGTAAAACAGCGTCTGGGTTTCCTCTGTTCCTCGTCTTCTCCAGATTTTTTAATCAGTGATGCATGTTAATCCAAACAGCTGCCTTTGGTGATGAGAGGAACAAGGATATATTTTATTGAAGAGAAAAACAGCTATGCTAATTTGTCATGGAGGAATTTAATGATTTTGATGTGATTGCGCTGCAGTGTTTACTTGTTGCTGGAGGTCCTGAGGCGGCGTGCTGCGGAGCAACGCTGTTTTTATCCTCTTTAACCATTTCCCTCCTTCTTTCTCTCTCTCTGAGAATAATCACCTTCTGTCCGTCCGCATGAATATTGAACTTCTTGTGCAAACAGAGCGATTGATCAGTCAGACTCTGGGTAAACTCTGCAGCACTTTGAGCAAACGCCACCATCGATTTGTGCACATAAGGGGTCTGCGGGGCGGGGGGGGCTCCGCCTTGGTCCCCCCGGCGTCGCCGCCATGTTGTTGTTATTGTTTCTTTCCTGGTTTGCACGTCAGCAGCGGCGGCGGCGGCAGCTCGTGTTTGTCTGAGAGTTCAGCGCTCTGCTGGGTGGCCACTTACATTTACAATGCTAATGTTTGCCCGCAGGGAAAGAGCGTGTGTGTGAGTGTGAGAGTGTGTGTGAGAAAGCATCTTTCCTCAGGCTGTAAAACAGAAACTCAGCTCAACAGTTTGGCTTCATTTTAGGAGATCCAGAATCAGAATATGTAGGATTTCCTGCAGGGTCACGGCTACAGTCGTTGAGGACACGGAGGTTGCGTCCTCAGATCCCTGCTGGACATTTTTGTAAGTTTTAAAGATGTTAAAAATACTAAAAATTTGGACTCGAGTTCAGAGTGAACAGAGAATAAATATTCAGTTTTCCCTCAGCGGATGTTTTGGAGTGAAGAGGTTCAAACTGTGAGCCGGCGAATCGACAATTACAGCGAGCGTTAATGAAAATGAGAATCAAAGATGAGAACTGAGAACATTAAAGGTCATGTGAGGAGATTTTTGACCTCCAGGAAATAAACTTAAAGTCATATTTCTGCAGTTTTATGACACACAAAAACACCAGAGACCATCAGCAGCATGACTGATGGTTCAAGTTTGGAGACACGCCGGTGTAAGACATGTCAGTGTCATCTGTGTGAGGAAGTAGGGCGGCGTTTGTGTGTGTGTGTGTGTGTGTGTGTGTGTGTGTGTGTGTGTGTGAGATGTCTGACAGATGGTGTTTATAGTAGGACAGGCGTCACTCTCACAAACGGCCCTTTAAGGTCACAGAAACAGAAATGATACTCGCTGCTAAAAACCAAAACAGAAAATCTCAGTCTTCTCTGAGCGTGTGCATCCAGCTGTGCTTCCTTTCACCTACTACGTTTCCCATGATGCATTTCTGCCAAGACTATCCAGGAGAGAAGGGAGGATGATGATAGATTAGTGTAATCTCTAAGGACTCTTAAAGACATTTTTTAAATTAATATTTTGTTTTTAAGTATCTTTCCTATTGGACTTAGTTTTGCAAACAACTTCACTCTTGTTTATTTATTTATTTTTTTTATTTTACTCTTTAATTTTATTCTTCAATTTTTTTTAATTTTTGACGTGAAACTTTTTTTTTTACCACGTTTTTTTTATTTGCAAATTTTTTTTAACATTCTTTTATTTTGCACCTTAACAGCTTTTTAATTTTTCTAATATTTATTCTAAAACAGTGTTATTCCATTTTTGTTGGGACTTTATTTACTTACAATGATGTTCTTTCTTTTTAAAGACTTTATTTTTTTAATTTTAACTTTATTTTTTTATTTTGCATGAATAATTCATGACTCTATTCTTGTAATTCACAGCTTTTCTGCTTGATGACTGGTTTCCTTCAAACTTATTTATTTTCTGCCTTTTTTATCTCTGCATGTGAATTTAACATCTAAAACTAAATTCCTAATTTTTTTCTTAAATTTATTCCTTCAAAAATATTTTATTTCCTTTATTATTCTCCAAATTTATTTCCTCTCAACTTTATTTTTGTTATTTTTTATTTACAAATTCTTTCTCCTTGTTTTTCAGTGTTATTATTTCTTTATGACACTTTAACACCAAGATCGAACCCTGAACAGGGAAACTGTGACTTTAGGTGTAAAACCGTCAATAACTACAGAAAGTAACATCATTGATAAGATTGATCTGAGCACAGCTGAGGTAAAGGTGAGGCCTGCAGCTGTTATTGATCTCTGATCGGGAGGAAACAACTAGGTTAACATGGAAACCAGGACGAGCGATCTGGACCCCAGTTTCTGGGTTACTGAGCACACATCAATCACACACACGTATACACATATACACACACACAAACACACACTTAACACACAGGATGAGTGACACATGTTTGGTCGCCTCGAGGGGGGTCTGAGTATTGATCGCCAAAACAGTTATCCATCCTCTGTGTGTGTGTGTGTGTGTGCGTGTGTGTGTGTGTGTGTGTGTGTGTGTGTGTGTTGATGAGGAGATAACATCATCGACAGACTAATGGACAGGACAGAGGAGTGTGTGTGTTTGACAGGGTCGTGTGTTGTCTCTGTTGCTGATTGATTATCTCACACACACACACACACACACACACACACACACACACACACACACACGCACATGCACATGCACACACTTGATGTTCAGCAGGTCAGAGCTGGTGTGTGTGTGTGTTTTAGTGTGTTTGTGTGGACACAGATCTAATTGAACCTTTGATGTTGTCAATGGCGGCGCCAGGCTGCAGAAACACTGAGCACGCTCAGAACAGCTCTGTGTGTGTGTGTGTGTGTTTGTGTGTGTGTGTTTGATCCTGTCACTGATAAGTGATCAGCCTGCAGCTTATAAATCTATACAGTCTGCAGAAATCTGTGTGTTTCGTCCGTAATTGTATTTTCCTTTTTTTTAATGCTTCCTTTATTAGATTTGTTTCTGGGAATCAGACAACACGGCAACTTCGCCAAAACACGACACAACCTCCAGCAGAGCGTCAGTGAAATCTAGCGCTCCGGATTTAGAGAGGCAGACACATTTATACGACTAACGGACACGGTGTTCTTACACTCTGTCGCAGCTTTTGGAAAGTTATAATCCATGGTGGTCTGCCTCTCTGTCAGGTTGTACGCTGATATACCTGTGCGTCACGTGTATTTTCTTTAAAATGTCTGCAGAAGGATAAATCCATCAAAGTAAGAAATCACAGGAGCACAGAACACCGTGTCTGCATATTCTGATTTTAGCCTTTCTTAATCGTAGTCGACGTGCAGTCTTCTCTGTTATGGTGCAGAAGTTTGAAGCTGAAACTACAACACTATCTTGTTTTTGGAGAAAAAACAAGATTGTCCGAATAAAAGGCAGGAGAAAACCATCTTAAATCCTGTGTTTGTCATACATGTATAGTAGAAACTGACAATAAAAGAGCTCAACTTCTTACTAT